GCTGCAGCAACTTTCTGGGAGATGTTTGTCTTTAAAGGACCATGTTGACTCGCCTCCTCTGGCTGGGGAAATAAGAAAATCCACATTTCCCGTTAGGACTCCGGAGTGGTTCGTCTCTAAGGCGTGAGGGTAGAAGGGCTGAAGAGTAGACCGGATGCCTGGAAACATACACTACTGGTGGAAACAACCACAGTGATCTCGCTGCAGAACTAGCCGCGGGGGAAACTGCTCTGCTTTCTTAAAGGTGGCAATTCTGCCTGCAGCCCATCCATTCGGTGCTCTCCCACAACTGGTAGCTATAATTAACTGAAAAGGCTGGAAATGAGCTTCGTTCACAACCTCCAGGTGAAGTAATTAAGCAGGCTTGACGAGGAATACAAGTTTGGGGCACCTGGGTGGTTCAGTCAATAAAGCGTCGGACTCCTGATTTCGGCTTCAGGTCATGACTGCAGTGTCTTCAGATGGATGCCCGTGTTGGGCTCAGTGCTGGGCGTGGAGCCTGCTTAAGATTCTTTCTCTCCCACTCCCCTCAAAACAAAAATACACATGAATTTTGTACAACTATTCCAGAGGAAGCATATCTTGATGGTGGGAATCTTTCGAAAGTGACTTCAAATGTTTGTGTGTGTGTGTGTGTGTGTGTGTGTGTGTGCGTCTCTGGCTTCTGCTACTATCTAATGGCTATTTACAGCTGACAGAGATCCAGCTACTTCTGTTCATGACAGCAGACCTGCATCCGAGTTTAATGTCCATAGGCGCTGTAATTAGGCTGCCAGCCCTTAAGCCTTGATAAAGTATTCTGGCTGAATGGATCCTACTGGCACCTGAGCACTGCCTAGCAGGGACTGAGGGAGAAACTGACCACGCTCAGTAAGCTGTCCACGTGCCCACGGCTGGCGTCAGATGTGGTCGCTCAATATTAATGGGGGTACTAGCTCAAGATAAAGGTCTTTAGGTAACTTTAAGTATTTGTTATATCAACTTGCATCTTGAAATAGTTACCATTGGTTGACTTCCTACCATGTACCAGGTTCTATGTTAAGATCTTTGCATATATTATAAATTCTCATAAAAATGTGTAATAACAACTACTGACACATTAAACCATCACTACATGATAGGCTGCACTGACAGCTTTGCATACACATCTCAACCCTATTACTATTAGTTTTCTCTAACAAAATAGGAAAGAACTATGGTCAGAGTGGGAAACATGAACTTGCCACATAGTCAATGACAGAGATGGGCCTCTGGAGCTTGTGCTACTGGCCACTTCATACAAATGCCTTGCTGTGGGGCACCTGGGTGGCTCAGTGGGTTAAAGCCTCTGCCTTCTGCTCAGGTCATGATCCCAGAGTTCTGGGATCAAGCCCCGCATCAGACTCTCTGCTCAGCGGTGAGCCTGCTGCCCTTCTCCTCTCTCTGCCTACTTGTGATCTCTGTCTGTCAAATAAGTAATAAAATAAAATCTTTAAAAGAAAAAAAAATGCCTCGCTGTAAGATAGCTGGACTCATCACCAAGGGAACTGCACGAAACTTGTTCAAGGCCATGTAAAGAAATGGTAAAGAGCATGATAGGTTTCTCTCTCTCCAGACCTGGGCCAGATTTGCCAGTTCACCAGTGGCCTTCCTGTTCAGACAGCTCTGTTTATATACATTATTTGATAGCCTGCATGTAAGGTTTAAACTTTTTTTTTTTTTCACAAATCATAGAACAGGAAAAAAACCACAGGTTTCTGCTACTATAAAAGAAGTAATGGAAACTGAATTGTGCAACATTGAGCCTTAAGATGGGACAGCAAGTCATTTCTACCCAAATCAGCTGAGAACCCTCTCCTTAAAGGGAGGCTTGACCTGGCAAAGCCATAGAACGTTTCTTTTGGATTACATACTCTTCTTTATATTGTTTTGTATTTCCTGAATTTTCTACGATGAAAGTGCTACTTTTTAAAGTAAATATTCATAGGTAATGCTAAATACATTCTCATGTTAAACATTTAACTACACAAAACCCTTCCCTTAAACGCTTACCTTCCACGTCCCCTATTCTAGTCTCCTTTCCAGAGGCAATCACAATTTAGAAGTTTCTATGCATTCCTCTGCATGACAGACCTGCACAGGCCAATAAGGAAATCATGATCCATACGTGGTTACTGAGCGCTTGAAATGGCCTGGTTCAAACTGAAGTATGCTTGTAAGCATAAAATACACACGAGATTTAAAGACCAAATCTGTAAGAGTGTAAAATATCTCATTTAACTTCTACATTAACTACATGTTGAAATGACCATATTTGGGATGTATTGGGTTAAAGAATTAAAAATAAGTGAAATACAGTATTAAATTAATTTCATGTTTCTTTTTGCATTTTTAAATATGGTACTATAAAATGTAGCTTACATTATATTGGTATTAGCCATTATATCGGTATTGCTCTGGAGTCTAGACCATTTTTAATATGTTTACACACTTATTTATATAAAATAAGTATTTTTTGTGGTTTTTAACATAAATATGCACTACTTTTAAACCTGGACTCAAACTTCTTTTTAAATGTATAACCTTTAAATGCATTGATCATTGTATTAATTCCTTTCTTCTTTCCTTTCTCCTCCTCTTCCCCACCCCATCCACCACCTCCAACGCACACACTTCTTGACAAGCTGACAAGGCCTCAGAGTGAAGAAAAGTAATCATTATTCTTGGCCATCCAAATGTTGAAGCGAGCACACCTAACAGTTGGATTATTCCAACCCAGGCACAGATTAACAAAAAGGTGTCTCCTTTTTGGATAAAAGAAAGTGCTAGTCAGTGGAGGAAGGCATTGGAGTTAGTGGGTCCTAGACAAAAGAAATAGGAAATAGCTGCAATTGCCAAAAATGACTACCAGTTATTTTTCAAGAACTAGATCCAAATTTGCTATTCTCATCATGTCATCTGTTCCTTTCAGTTTTTTTTTTTTTTCCTTCAGAAAGCACAGTTCCGTTACTTTATGTTGGGTGACTATGTACCACTAACACCTTTTCCCTTGATCAGTACTGCCTATTAAGCACCACCTCAGTTCAGCAACTGAATCTTGATCGTTGTCGGAAATAAATGCTGACGTGTGTGATCACGTCTGACTCGTCGAAGGTTGTAATGTACTGAACATTTTTGTTTTGTCTAAATACCTAAAATTGAGTCCAGTTCAGTGGATTCTGCAAAGGAAATAACCCCAGACAAGCTCCTGTTCTCCCCCCACTTAAAATCTGCCTGCCTGCATATACGCACACAGTTGACACACAGCGCACTCCTGTCAGTGAATGGGGACCACGCACACACACGGCAGTCTGGGGTTAGGCTGTCAGGGTGTTTCCCGTGTTCTAGACAGGCCTTAACACATGCAACCCATTAGCAGCTCTTACTTGGCCTCAAGCTCCTTGAGGGCAGAGGAGAGACAAAGAACATTAGGCATGAGCAGGGGTGTTGTGATAACTCACTATTCTCATTCCCACGGGTGCTCGTGGTGCTCTGTCCCACTCGTGTCCCTCAGGTTATGTTCTGCCTTGATAAAGAACCACCGCTGAATATCTATTTTCCATTGTCCCCTCCTTGCTGCCCTGACCAGCTTCACCATGATAAAGAGGAGGCCACGGAAGAGGAGGAGCTCCACAATTTTCTTCTAATTGGTAACTCTCCCAGTCTAATAAATCAAAATTTCCTTGAACGGATTTCATGGGAGCTGCTCCATGTCAGCAGGGCATCGAGAAGTGCTTCTTCTCTTTTCTTCCTATTCCTCATCACCTTTTTCCTTCGTTCAAGGAAATAGGAAACAAAACAAAGACTAGGGCCATGCAAGGATGTTCAATCTTTACCCAAGTGCCGAATATCACTGCAATTAAGGCAACCTTTTGAAACTTGGAAAAAAAAATTTTTCCCTTAATTAGGATTGACTTCATCTGAGCGGATACCATCTGCTCTAGCAGCCCAACCTGTGCTCCTTGGGTCTTGGCAGCCTCAGGTGAGTTGGGCCCATTTCTCCTTTCCCACACCCCTGCTCGAGAAGCTGCCAGGGAGCTCTCAAGCAGTACCAGCAGGCAGGAAGTGGGGTGGGAGCGAGGGGGGCCTCCACCCATTAGCAGCTGCTTAAGTAGTAGGCAGGGGAACTATTCTACAGAGAACTTCAGGTCAGCAGATACTCCAAAGCAATTTATACCACATGCTACCCAGTTGGGGAATTAACTTAAAATGCTAAGGAAGGAAGGACCTGGAACGCCAGTCTCCTTATTTTCTCCCCACCTGGTGTTTGGCACCCAAAAGAATAAAAGAAGAACCGTTGGACTTGGTGGTTTCAAAGGAATTATTAGGCAACTGGGAGGAAGTGAAGGCAGCACACGCCAAGGGCAGCTGTCTTCATGGAACACCGTGTACCACTGATTAAATGTCAGGACCCATCACTGCCCGAGTGGTGACGTCTACCCAGGTTTAGTAACTTGCTTCATTCAGGTTAAACCAAAAGACAAGCTTGACAGATGATCAGACTCTTTGGGGGAGGGCAGTGGGTGGAGTGGAGAAAGGAGTAAGGCAATTTAAAAAAATGACTTCATAATATTTTTTTTAAAAAAGCACAATATTATCACCTCTGTGGTTTTTGCTTCAGTCTCTTCTAGCATAATGTGAAGTAGAAGCGTAATGTGAAGTAGAAGTTTTGTTAAAAGTAGCGGAAACATTTCCAAATAAGTCATTATAGATTACATTCCAAATGTAAAGTAAAAACTTGTAAACATGCATTTGTCCGTTGGACTTTAGAACATTTTTGTTCACACTTCCTTTGTAGAAGAAATTTGACTTTTTTCTTATGCTACTTCCTTAAGAATAATTTGCTATATAAAAAAAGAATAATTTGCTATGGTTTTAACAAGTGACTAAGAGCTGGGTTCATAATTATATATATAGCACGTACATATATTAAAAATAATTTTTTACATTCCCTCACCAATAGGAAAACATCAAATGATTACCTCCGTAAATTTGTTCCGATTCGCTTGCAAGCCAACTTTTACTACCTCAAAAGGGTTAACCACGATAGCTTCTGTTAGTCCAGATCCTAATCCAGCAATGGCAAACGTCTAGAAAAGTTAAATCAATCAATACTTTAAAACAAGTTATGTGCACTGGGTTAAACATCTTACTCATTATACTCTGCAGCTGAATGTTATGGGGAGAATGGAGAAATGCACAAAAATGCACCATATACCATTACTAAACAGCTTTAGTTCTTGATTGGATGCTGACAATTCATGAATAAGAAATTACAGAAGCCACAAACCACATCCTAACAATTCAAAATAAAATATCAAAACCCCATCAACAGCGACTTTTTCCTTTAATGAAAAGAAAGGTTGTTTTAGTGATTTAAGGTGGATACTAAAACATCTGCACATGTAACAATTAAGAGAGTTTGACTTGTAAAAGGAGAGCTTCTTTTTTAAAACATCTACTTAAATCATTACTGAGCATCTCAAAAACTTCAAGTAGCAGAACCAAAAATAAAAAGTTTATAACTAAATTTCAGGTAACCAAACAGTGCAGCTGAAAACATTTAAATGTATAGCCCGGTTGTTAGAGTCGCTATTCTAGACAATTGGCAAACCAAAAGAATTTTTATTCATCCTTTCCTTATTTAAAACAAAAAATTACAAAAAACTCCCAGTAGCTGCCCTACTCTTCTGGACGCAGAAAATGAGGAATAAAAGTTGAAATCAGAAATGGCGAGGTTGTTCTGAAAGGCTCAGCTAAAATCTACAACATCTCTCAAACGATGATGTGAAGTTCTTATTTGCTCTGAGTTAAGAGTTTCTGCAATAAGGAACTACAGCTTTCTTGACTTCTCCTCAAAGTAGAATGTTTAAGGCTTTTTCAGAAGATGTGTATCAAAAATAACCACAACAATTAAAATACACACACACACAGACACACACACCAGAAAAACAAAATGAAACAAAGCCTCAAATCTTCAAACCAGATGCTGGAAAACAGTAATTCTTTAGTGTTGAAGCTCTAATTCCAGGAGAAGAGGGAACACTATATACAACCAAAAGAAGAAAAAAGCCAATGAAGAACAAAGAACAGAGAACTCTTGCTAGGAGTCTCTAATTTCTTCAAAGTAGAACACAAAAAGAGAAAAGAGAAATGAATATTCCCTAACTTTGGAAGAAAAGGCAAGGGGGAACAAGGGAGGAGCTAGAGGGAGGTCTGGGTTCCGGTTCTGCCCCTTCTTGGCTGTGTGACTGAGGCTGCCATGTGCATTAGTTTGAGCACAGAACAAGGTGTGTGTGTGTATATTTTAATTGTTGTGTTTAGGCTGAGATCCAGCCTGCACCCCACTTGCCAAGCTGTAGCCCTGGAGAGGCATTTGCCAGGAGAAAGGACAACTTTGCCTAATTCACACGAAGGCACCACAAGTGTGAGCTGCAGTTCAGTGTCTAAATCACAGAACCTTTTATAAGCCACAGTTTTCTCATCTGTAAAATGGAGACAATGTTATCTAATCCCCCTACCTCATATGAGGATCAAAACAATGTGTGAAGCCCTTTGTAAAGTGCTTTACAAAAACCACTGTTCCTGTTGCACATAAAAATGCAGAGGAAGAATGGGATAGTATACAGATTGAAGGAGAGGGAATAATTAGTCATGTTTTCCTTTCATGCCCCTTCATTATGATTTAAACACATTTGCATAGGGTAACATACCAAATATTTTATTCATTTATCTCAGACTTCTATCATGGAAGCCAAAACATGTGTGTGTACATGAGTGTACACACACACACACACACACACACACACACACACACAAATACTAGTCCCAAACTCTTCTGACTGGGAAAGCTAAAATCCAGATGTTCAGGTTTTTATTACTTACTGTATGCAATCTTCCAAGTAATTCACTTTTTTATTCTTCTATAAAACTGAGCTACATTTGCTGTCAGAACTAGTGTTCAGCAGTCCCTTGTCAAAAGAATTGATCAGCTATCAGCAGATCACGTTACTTAGATGATTCCAGAGACCAGCGGGAACAGTTGGGTTCCCAGCCTCCTAGGCTTTTCATGTGCGAGCGCTGGGGGACATTTAAGGGCTGTTTAAGTGTCTAGCCATATCAAAAAGACACTGGAATAAATGAGTTCAAGGAAAGAGAACACTCTACAGTTTGCATGCATTCAGTTAGAGTAGCTGGAGTGGCCAAACGCTTTTCTGTTTTAATTCTCAGGAGTCCAAGCGACTGCAGCCTCTCACATGGTACCAATGCTCGACACAGGAACCACCAGCTGGCCCTCTGGAGACCATATTTTATCGTCTTTTGCTAGGAAGTTTTTAATCCTCTCTTTACCAAAATGTTTCCAAAGTTGAGAATGACATTAAGAGAAGACAGCGAGGCATTAAAAAAAAAAAATTCTGAGCTAATATTAGGACTCAGGCTGCCACTTCTACCATACAAGGTTATTTCACAGTACCTTGTTTAGGCAGGAGGCTGGGCAAGAAGTTTCTTAGAGGATCCTTCCTAGAGAAGGGGCAGGTACCGTTTAAGAAATAACAGCTATTTCTTCTTGGACAGTCTATTGGGCAGAGTAAGTATTTTGAAGTAAACCTTTACAAGTTAAGTAACAGAAGAGCCGAAGCTCAGAACATGAGTTTTGAGGCCCACTGCAGCAGGTACACCAGAGGACTTTTTGGGGGGGCTGGGGACCCTCCTGTCAATTGGAGGGTCAATGTATCGGTAGTTTTGCTTCATTTTGTTTTTCAGGTTTGGAGGGAGGAATCAGTGCACTTTCTCTCCCTTGGGCTCTTGCTGCACACATCCTTGTAGAACCCATCTGGTCACTCTAATTTGCAGTTGTGAAGCAGCAAGGTCACCAAAGAGAGGAGAGGCACTGAGAGATGTCCGCGTCACCATGTGATTTCCACGGAACAGCTGAGATGTGGCATCGTAGCATCACTGTTCTCCTCAACAACTACAGGTCCTTCAGTCTGCAGCTGCCTACAGGGTGACCTGAAGTCCCGCATCTCCTACAGCTTGAGCAAAAAGCTGGAAGAGTGACCTGTTAGGAAATTTCTTAGGCAGACTGACTGTTGCATAAACAGATATGTGCAGGACGTAGTATGTAAACATATGCACGTTTTGGCTTTCACAGAATCTTTGACAAATGTACTCTTTATTTTATATTCTTGACCATATCTCATATGGGTCTTTGCACACATATCACTGTTATCATAAATTCATCACTGGGAGCTAGAAAATGGCCAAATTGTGAGTTATTAGGAAGATGGCTTTCAACAAGTAGCTGAACATTGAATAACTCAAATTCATATTTGCGTAGTTGGGCTTGGGGAATCAAAAGGGTTTTTGTTTCCAGATTTTGCTTTATGAAATAACTCACACACTTAAGTATAATAAATACTCTCACTTACCAATGCTGGCGACAGTGACACGTATCCTAGCAATTTCTTGTACTGCTCAAAGGTGAAAAACTGTGAAACAAAACCAAACCCAGAGATTTATAACCATTTCCTGCAACAAACCCTTTAATTCAGTCAAATGTCTTTAGTAAATCATGATATTAACCAGCATTTTAGAAAGATGATAAACCATTGGGCACAGTTTTGAATCTGGTCTCGGGTAGCTGCTGGCGGACCCTACTTCAACATTCGCATTTTCCAATGCAACTATAATAGCCTACAGAAGAGCTGATGGAAGGAATCCTTTATGGCAGTAAATGAACCATACAGCTTCCATTTACCATGACCATTTTCAGTTTCCCCAGACATCAATAGACTTCTTTTTTATGGCAGTGATTCAAAATTATAGGCAGAGAGACCCAAAATCTCTGGTCTCCTATGTTTTCTCTGTGAACAGCTTTCCCAGTGAATGCCTAGTTTTCTAACCCACACTCCGTTCTCGTCTTGAACATGCGCATATGCCCTTTCTTATGTATCTCTATTGTTTCACGGTTTCCGAACACTCACTGATGATGAAGGCGCCATGGTAACACAGAGAAGGACCCAATGAGGTCATCCAGTCCGCCCTGATTTAAAAGCAAGAGTGTCTTCAACCTTTCTCCCTTCATGAAGAGAGTTGTTTGCTCCTTCCTTTAATATCTGATGAGGGAGATTTTGTAGGTTCCTTTCATGAAGTAACATTTCATATAATTTTCTCTGCAAATAAATTTCTATGAAGGCAAATCTCGTCAGACGTCATGTAATGAGCCCCACACTACATTTCTCTCCTCTCTTTCTGTACGCTGTATTTTGGGAAACAACTCTGCTTGATCATGATGTTTAGCTCCTGGGAGCTCTGTTAGTAGAAGCTGCTAATAGTGCTGATAAGGCACATTCTTAGGTCCTGCGAGGGCCCGATTTTTAAGACCCCAGAAAAGGCATAGGTACTTTATGGTCTCGAATGTCTTCTATTCTATTACTTTATAACCCAATAGGATGGGAAGAAAAAAAGCAGATGTGGGGATCAAATAATACTCTGTTGTTAGAAAGAAGTAGTTCTAGGTAGACACGGCTCTGTGAGTCTTTGGGCAACCCCAAAGTCATTCTATCACCAGATAGATTTTGATTCTTTTAGAGACCCAGGAATAAATTTGTGCCATGCTTCTTTAACTCAACTACAGTTATAAGCTTTTCTAGATCAGGGATTCATTCATTTACTCATTCAACAAATATTTATTGGATGCCTCCTGCAAAAGTAAAGAAAGAGAAACCCCTGCCTCCTTGATCAAACGTTCTAGTGAGTGGTGTCAACCCTGTAACTTTCCTGGTATTAAAAAAACAGCACCAGCAGCTACCACTGTTTTGGTGAAACCATTAACCATGGAAGGAAAAGTGTTATTGTCTTAGGCTCTACAGATAAGCTTTTCTCTTCGTTTTTATGGTCACTGTCCTCACTATCCTTTGATAATTTCCTTGCTGGGGTTTCAATAGGAGCAGTCCCAGGACTGAATCCTGGTTATGCTACTTAGTTGTGAAAGCATGGGCAAGGCTCCTGACATTTCTAGCCCTCAAGAACACAAAACTTAACCTTCTAAAATATACCTTAAATAATGAAATTTAAGTAAGATTTTTCTGACATGCCCGACACAGGACTTTCAGAAAACCTTAGTTTTCATTCTCTTTCTTCACTTTGACTAATAGAGGAACCACAGTTCCTTGTATCCCTCCATGGTAGCTTGCTGTGGTCCAAAAAACATGCTAAGATCTTTGCCTGTGCGACTGCACTAAATCCATATAACACCATCAGGCTTGTAAGCATCAGGTTATAGTACAATCATAGTACAACCATGACTCTCATTTTGTAGATACATATCCTGCAGTTAGTGAGTGGAAGGACTGATGGCAAAGCCCGAGTATGCTCTTAACCACAACATACGCCTGCTCACTGCTGAGCCGTGACTGTTAACTGTGGGATTCTCTGCCCTGGAGTTTTCTTGCTGCTGAGGTCTTCTTGCCTTCCCTGACCTTGGAGGCCCAGAGTCCCTCAAGGCAGAAGGTTTCAAACCTTTCTGAGCACAATCAACGTAAAAAGTGTTCACGTAACACACATACACACGCACTCACGCATGCATGCACGAATGCAATGTACCCTTATGTTTATTTATAACAGAAACAAAACATTGCTGTAAAACAGTTTCCCCCCTCACTATGTGTAAGGCACTATGTTTCTATTCTGCCTCGTGAAAAAAATTCTGGTCATGACCCATTACATCTAGTGACTTACTAAATTGATTTTATGACTCATAGGTCATGACCTACATTTGGAAACACGGGGTTCAGGGAAGTTCTGGGATGGATGGACCTCACAAAAGCCCTCACTACCTTGTTCTCTTCCAGTGTGAGGATGCGGTTTTGACTTCTGTTTTTATTTCTGATTTTCTATAGTTCCAAGGTCTTAGACCAAACTGGGATCTCAAGGGAGAAGTCTGGGGACAGGCACTTGGCCTGTCATTGTAGCAATTCTCATAGGGAATTCCAAGTCCCTGTGTTGGGGCAATTCTAGGCTTTTCCTATCCCATCTCTAAAATTGTGAGAAAACCAAACTACCATTAGCTGACTGGTACTCATCAGCAGTATTGCTGGAAGCTTTTGGTGAATGGCTAGGAGGAAATAAATGATTCAGGTTCCTGGGAAGGAAGGAGCCCCATAAGCTACAGTGATGAATTATTAGGGTACTGAATTCAAAAGTCATGAAAAATATATTATCATATATTCCAATAAGCAAATAGTGCTTCAAATAAAGACACTATCTCGAGGAAGGAAAAGGTAAGATCTTTTAAAATGGAGTTTCAGTAATAGTAAAATAATGTAAATGTCAGTGTTTTAGTTTGACACCAGTATTTACTAAAAAACATTCATTCATTCATTCAACAAATATTTACTGAATGTCTCTCATGTTCAACACTTAGAAGACATTATCCCAGAACTATATTCTTAGAAGACATTATCCCAGACCTATATATCCCAGAACTCATCTATAGTAGATGAGCTGTTATTTTATTTCCTCTCTATACAACACTACTCCTTCATGTCTTTCGTGATATTTCTCAGTAGTTCCTCAGCCACAACGTGACCAATGCAGAAATGTGATATAAGTACCCTATCATATAAGATACGAGATTACATTCTAAGGATAAAATTGGGAGGGTCAACATGTAATCAGGTTGCCTCCCCAAAGTCTTACTGATATGTGACTACAGAGTTTTTGAAAACATTCATATTCAGTTAAGGTTTTGGGAATCCTGAATATAAAATCTGGAACCCAAATGAATCGTGTCATATATAACCTATCTATAGAATCTAGAAACTGGTAGTCTCACCTAGGGGAAGTGGCTGCCGTGTGGTCTCCGGAGAAGTGTCAGGCTGTGGCTGGGCAGGGGAGGTCAGTACAGTTTGCCTGGGGGACACAGTCCTCCACCATTTCCCCTTTGCTTCCATTCATGCTCACTCAGCAATGTGATGACTAACGTGACCTCCCAGGTGTTCTGTTCCGGGATGCAGTTAAATTACATGGAAATGGTCCGGTCCACTTGGGTCTTGCTTTTAACTACCTAAGCAGCACTCAGACTAGGGCTAATTATTACCCACTACCAAGGCAGACCCCTTCTGCGGACTCCTGTCAATGCCCTGTGCATGTTCCAGTTCCAGTTCCCCAGTCCAATGCCCTGGGGCCCTCCAGTTCCGCTGGTGGGAGCAGGGACTATTCCTGGCCCTGTGGGTTTGCCATGCACTGTTCCCCCAAATGCTCTGGACAGCTCTTTCGCAGGCCTTATAGTTTCTTCACATGCATGCACTCGGCAGTTCTCCGCTGAATATTTATGGGGTCCCTCTGAAGAGCTTAGGAGCTCTCTGTGCAGTTTTCTCTTTTCTAGTACCTCTGTCTTGTGAACTCTAGCTGCCTTTCCCTCTCCAGCCTGTCAGCTCCATCTCAACCCAGGGGGTAGAGCAGGCTCTGCTTACATCTCCCCTGCGTGCCTGAGGTCTGGAAAAACCTTTCCAGGCAGTAAGCTGGGGGCAAACCATAGAGCTCATCTCACTTGTTTCCCATCCCTGCCCTTCCTTGTCTGAAGTCCAGTGTCCTGAAAACTGTGGTTTCATATATTTTGTTCATTTCTGTTGCTGTTTCAGGCAGGAGAGTAAATCTGGTCTCTGTTACTCTATCTTGGCTGGAAATGGAAGTCTTGGTCTTCCAAAAACTGAACAGTAGATGTGGATTTTGGGGAATAGGATAGGAATGTCTCCTGTGATAAATCAATACACTTTCTGTTTCTCTCTGTTTCATTTGTGTATCGAACACTGATTGAGTATCTAGTAGGTGTAGATACCATGACAGGTGTAGGGATCGTGACAAACAAATAGCCTTCACAGTTCCTACTCTTTTGTGGGTCTGGTTAGCATCAGATGGTCCTTGAGAGTCTGTCCATGGAAAAATGGTGTTTCTGGACCTATGAATCTCAAGACCAGATTCTGGAAACTGGAACATGGTGTCTCCCATGTCTGAAAGATCAGTTGGTCTCTTTCTGAGGTCTTTATTTCCTTTTGCTAATTGCAATACTAATTCTGTCTTAATCTGTGAAGGGGGAAGTTTCATTTATCTAGCATTGATGAGTCTTACTTTAATGATCTTATTTTGAAGACTAAAGTGCACAAAAACTTCACATTGTCTGTTTCTGATTATAATAATGATTGTAATCGAAGTGTCAGTCCCAAGGAATACACACACGCGCGCGTGCGCGCACACACACACACACATATTTACATTTATTCATGTATATGTATGTATGTGTGTGTCTATTTATATATATATGTATATATGGTCTTTGAATATTTCTTCTGAAGTAAACTTTGATGCCATACAATGAAGCACTTTATGACGTAAGATATCGTTACAATCTGATGATCTCCTTCCTCACAAATTCTAAGATAAATATCTATAAAATGAATATTTTCATAAATTGTATAGAAAAAGTAGTGCTATCCATCTGGCAAAGATATACTTAACTCCAAGTTGGACTTAAAAAGCCAAGGCACTTACCATATGTCTCAATAATTTTAAGGTAAAATCAACTTGAAACAAGATGTCTGGGACACATACACCATATCCAGTTGCCCAAAAGTTCATCTGTTAACCATTGCTCTGGCAGCGAGCATTGCTTTTTTTCTTAAGTAGAGACTAACTCAGTTTTGTAAAGCTCAACTTTTTTTTTTTCCCCTTACATAAAAGACTGTTCAACACTGATAAACTTTAATCCTCTTCAAATTTAAATGAAATCGTCTCCAATGTGTAGTATTAAGGAAAAATACTCGGGGAAAAACTTTAATTATAATTGACTCTATTTATCCGTGTAAAACACTGAACAAATGAATATATTATTCCATGGAGACAAAGTGACTTTCCTTTTGAAAAGGAACTCTGCTCTGTTTGTTTACTTGGGCAATCTTTTATCAAGTGAAGCCATTTCATAATTCAATTCAGCCCTCTTGTGTACTTTGGTGAACTTTTTCCAGATTCTCTACTGCGATTCAGATCCTTCTAATGAAATTTGTATTGAAGTAATAATATAAAATCACAAAAACTATGGCAACAAAGGGGATGAATTTATAGAGAAAGTATGTTTTAAAGCTTTGTGTTCTTTTTTTTTTTTAAGATTTTATTTATTTATTTGACAGACAGAGATCTCAAATAGGCAGAGAGGCGGGCAGAGGGGTGGGGGGGAGAAGCAGACTCCCTGCTGAGCAGGGAGCCTGATGCGGGGCTCAATCCCAGGACCCTGAGATCATGACCTGAGTTGAAGGCAGAGGCTTTAACCCACTGAGCCATCCAGGCACCCCTAAAGCTTTGTGTTCTAAATTCTAGACCTGACTTAAATTCTATTAAATTACTATTTGAAATAATGTAAAAGTATGGTTGTCTGTGCATGTTAGTTTTCTTTATCACAAATTTTAACTTAGTTAACCTCTTAATTTACTGAGCAAAAGTGTAGAAATTGTCCCATTTTACCTTTCAGGAATATTGGGAATACAAATTGAGTAATATATCTGAAAAAAGCTTTACGTCATTAGTTGGAAAGGAAGTCTTTTGGCCTAAGTGTACGTTATCCTTCTTATGGAAAAGACAAAGCCATATTTGGTGAAGTCAGTGGTGAGGGGAGGGGGCACTGCCAGCCAGAGTCACTGTGATCAGGACTTCTGTCCAAGAAAACATAGAAAAGAGTGATCAGATTTAGCTCTTTCTTCCCCGGAGGTCCTGCCAGATCTCCGTGTTCCTCTCCAGATACTGAACCAGCAAGCAGTACATAAACTCCCATAGTTATGTGGTTAAAGAATGGAAATCAGCATAGTGGAAGTAATAATTTTGTAAAAACCAGAATAGAGAATTTTAACAGAGGAGCCCAGAGTGGAGGGGCAGGGAAGGAAATGAAGTTAGCGTGCCGAATAAATGTGTTATATGAGAATCATATACAAAGAAATACAGTGTATTAGTTTGTTGTGTTCACAAAATGGAACTGATTTAGGGAAAAGGGTTTTTCTACCACTCTTCCCTCCTGTCCTCTCACTCTCTTCTTAATAGTTCTTGCTCCCAAGGAAAACTGATGAATTGCTTTGAGAAAAAGGACCAAGTTATTTTGTGGCTACTGTGGTTCAATGACATGAATTTCATTCACCACCGTACTTTTTGTATAATTTCCTTATCAGAAGGAAGCGCCTTTATCTGGAAAAAAAAATCCATAAACCAATATTTGAGAGAGTGACCTGGCCTAATAATTTTAATAGTCATGCTATAATTTCCACATTCAATTTTTTACTGTTTTATCTTTAATTCACATTAACGTCCCATAGTTTGTTGCGGGATGTCTGTTTTTACTTGGTGGAAAGGTATACAATGCTTACCTTCACTGCTCTTTTTGGTGTTTCAGCCAAGATTGGTGGCAGAATCCCCTTGTAGAAACCAAACAATCTATTGGAGAAATAAAAGATTTCATGTAAAGGAATCAGGAAATAGGTAATTCTGCCTTTGTTTATGGATAAAGCAGCTAATCTTAAAGTATTCAATGGAGCACACCAATCATGAAGTCTTCCTTTGTTTTAATTCTAAAGTGCAGAGATTATGAATTCTATACTTATCAGCACTATGAAATTCAGAATAAATGGCACCAGAGACTGGAATCCCCTGTTGCTAAACACAACAATGAGTTGTACCTTAAGGATGAACTTGACCTTTCTCACTCTGAGGGATCTTGAATTTTTTCCCTCAGTTGTGTGGTAGGTAGCTTCAAGCTGTCCACCGTTTGGCACTTCTTCCCTTGTAAACAAATGAGGTTAGGGTTATACCTAAGCCCACTAGACTGGAACTTTCTGCGCTAACAAGGGGCACAAATCCTTAATTCCAGCTTTACTAACACGAAGGAACTAACAAGCTCTATGACTATGGAAACTGGGCTCCCAGCTCTGTCCTGAGTTAGTCATGATTTTTTTTAACTTCCCTGATGGAGATAGAAGGTCAGGGCCCTATGTTGCTGACAGAAGAAATGTCAAGCTTCCTTGCTGATATGCAGTCTTACGAGGCCTGGGACGACTGTCGCTGCCAATGCTCAGGGACTTGTCACATACTCAAATGTTTTTAGAAACAAAAACAAAAACAAAAAACAAAACTGAGAATGAGTGCCATATGCTTATGATAAGGTTCATAAAATGTCACCATTTATTTCATATTAGATTTTAAGATTCAAAATTTTAAATTTGTCTACCCTGGAAAAAAAATATGCCATACACTCATTTTAAACCTGAAATACATGGTAGAATATTCATTATTATTTTCTGAGATCATTGGTTTTCCTGATGAACCCATAAGTGACTACAGAAGAAGGCAGGACACAACGTGTCTGTATTTTAGGATGTCCACTTAACACGGGGCTGGAGCTTTTCCCATTGACCTCTCAAGCTTCACTCCAACTTCCTTAAATTGGGTTCTGCTTCTAGAACAAGTTGAGAATTTACATATACTAATTCACTGTGCCACCCAGTCTGACACGGTGATTTCTTGCTCTTCCTTGATTCGTTGGTGTACAAAGCACACTTCAGTTAAGGAAGCAAAGGGCTTGTTTTATAGCTTCTAAATTGTTAACTCCTTGGGGGCTGAGTGCACATTAGTGTGCTTACCCCAGAGGCTTCTTTGTGTGTGGCTATGTAACCAGGACACAAACTTTGTTAAGCATATGGATTTTGCAAAGGGGAAGAGAGGAATCAAATGATCCCCTGAGATGGGCTTATTCTGCCTAGTATTTTTGACATAATGGATAGTGCTAGCAGACATATGATTTGAAGAATTATGGGAATTCATGCTCCCACCTCTTTTCCATTCCAATTTCAACTACTAATGCCTGAAATTCACTTATAAAATTCAAATAACTCCACTCTTTATCATTTAAATTTCATTATAAATTAATCATTACAAAATTTTCTGCATAAGAGTGACTAAGCATAGGCTCGGTCTTCCCAGAAGATAAATGTGATTATCTGAATAGAAGTTCTATATTTATAATGAAAGATTGATTAGTTCTGTTCTTTCTGTGCTGATTTTTCCATATCTCGAAGATTATGTCTGGTTTTGGGGGGAAATGTTAAGAAGAACATTTAAATAACTAAAGCTTCTAGAACAGAGTGTCCCTGTTAATAACAGAGGTACTTGAAATCTCATACAGCAGAGAACAGTTAGAGGAAGAACAGTCGCTCAGCCTGGAGAACAATCATAGGGAGAAACATGATGGACGTGATCAATCTCTTGAAAGGTGAACATGTAGGAAAGAGTTTCGACTTTTCTGTTCTTTTCCAGGTGGTAGAACTAGGACCAACAGGTGGAAGCAACAAAAAAAAGACACATTATTGGTCTTGTAGGAGCTTAACATAAGGAAGTACTCCTAATAGAACCATCTACAGATAGAATGGGCTGTCCTGAAAAATGATGAGTTCTCCTTCCTGGAACATGGTCAAGCAGTGTGGATGGCCACCTGTCATGGATGTCAGAGATGGGATATATACGGCAATGGATGAACTTGATGGCCTCAAGATCGGTCTACTCCAACCCTCAGATTTTGTTGTTATGAGAAATGTAACAGGAGGATATGGGAAAGTGCTCTCCTGAAGAGACAAAATCTTCTTACCTTCAAACTTTTGCCTAAAGTAGAGCACTGCTTCTCTGGAGGAGGACAGAAATCTTCTAAGTAACACAGAAGGTCTTCATTTTAAAAATGATGGGAGAAAATATTAAAAAGAGGTGTAAGGCAGGAGGGAAGCGAGGCAGCTGGGAGAACCATAAGGATTTAATCTGAAAAGAGCTGGGAGGTCTAGAGCCCTCTGCTTCAAGTTGGCGATGCTTCCTTGATGTGCCCTCCTTCCCTTCTCTCTGCTTGGTTCCTTTCATGTGTAATCACCACCCTCCCCAACTCCCTGCCACTGCCTCCAGCCATCCCACCATCTTGAACTTTCTAATAGTTCTAGTGAATGAACAGCTTTAATGGGAAATTTTCAAGGACCATAGGCAAGCTTTGCTGGAAAATGGGAAGCTAGATCTACTTCCTTGCATTGTTTCCACAGTATATCTTTGCAATAGTGGACATCTACAGAATAGTTAGGCCAGCGCCTCTTCTGTTGAGAACTGCCCCATGCAATTTTTTAAAAACACTGGAGACAAAACATTAGTACAATATGATACTTCTTGTAGGCAGTTGGTTGATTGGGCAACTCACCAAAGGGATCCAAATGGTATTCCATCTCTTTGCCTCAGTTAATCTAATCCAAGCTAGACCTAGCAGAGTTTTTCTCCAGGATTTGAGAATTAGAACTGAAAAGGTCAAGTCTTGCTCTGTGTGGTTCAAGCTATAAGACAGAAAGCTAGCATGTCAGTGACAGTCACTTTTTCTGTTATTTGGAGAAGGTTAACCTGCAGTGATTAAAAAAAAAAAAAAGAGGAAGCTATCATCTAGGGAAACACAAAAGCAAGATGGAAAAGAGCAGTTCTGGTACTGGGTGTATGACCCTGTTGTCAGCAATTTTTTATACTTAGTTACATCTCAACCCTTCTTGAATATTCACATTTCCCTTTGCTTTTTGTTCTTTGAGATACCGAGTATCATTTAGAATAAATTCCTTTTTTTTTTTTAACCTAAATAATTCTGAGTTTGGTTTACTTAACAACCCAAGGTCCTGGAACCAGAAAGTAAGTTTCATGGTCCCTACAGTCAAAATGCCTGCCACAGGACCTCCGTGCCATGCCCTTTCCCACGAAGAGGCTTTTTGTCATTGAAGATCGGCATTTGGGTCAATCAGAAGAGTCACACGCAGAATTCGAGTAAGAGAATGTGGTGGGGAAGGGCGCAAGCTGACAAGCTACTTTTCTGACTTGATTAGATAATTACTGGAGGCTTTCTGAAGGTGAAGTATGACATACAGTTTCTTAAAAACAAAAAGGAATTGTAATGCTTTATGAAGGAAATACTTTTTTTTCTACTAGAGAACTAATGTTTATACCCACATGCACTGTTCACTCTGCCAAATTTTTCTGCCTTCATGTAGCTTTGGCTTGAAATACAGAGCATATGGCTTAGGAGGACAATAACTAGAGAAGTTAAGAGACTTGTGACACCCATATCAACATGCTTTATCCTGCTTACTTCTCAAGAAGCAGACTGACACATCCGGTCTACTCCCTAGATGAATGGAAAAGAATTCTAATGTGTATGAGGCATTAAGAGCAGTTGTTTTCCCTGAAAAGGCAGTAAGGCCATGATTCTGGCTTTAAGTTTTGACCAACAACAAGCCAACTGGAGAATTCTTTGGAAGAGGCATGAGAACCAATGCAAGACCTCCCATAACAAGGTGGTATGACATACATGGCAGCCCTCACAGCTTGTTTCTCAAGATTGTTACTTCTAAAAGTTGTCAATTTGATTTTAATTATCCTGTGTAAGAAAATGTTAACTTGGATGTTTATGGACTTTTGTTGATATTGGTGTAAGTAAAAATTGTCACAACTTGTCGAAAGCTTACAACGTACTAGCCACTCTGTTAAGAATAAATGTATGTAGGCATATGGACATATTTTAATCTCCTTCAACTTTCACAACAATCTTGGAAGAAGGCATGATATTTTCTTCATTTTGCAGGTGAGGCCTACTGTCACATCATTGCTAAACAAGGGACAATGACTCAAATCAAGTTCCATTGTTCTCACGGTCCACGTCCTTGACCACTGGGCTATGCTCCATTGCAATTTTTCTTGAAATAAATTTATTTCCATAAACACTTTTGAAAAGTTATTTTATGTTGCAAAAATGTCTTATCACTTCTTATTTTAGGAAAAGTCAGAAATGGCAATCAAAATTCAGTTTCATAGTCCCAGTTCCATTCAATTCTATTTTAAAGTAATGAGACACACAATCTGCATAACCAATTGATCAGGGCTGAGATGAACAAGATCATTATTTTGTGAAAGCTTTTGGGTTCTTAAGTATTTTCTAATTGTATCAGAATGAGAAAAAAAAAAAAAAAGTAGGCTCAAGGATAAGTGTTTTTCCCCCCAGGATAATTTTGTCCTTAAAAATATCAGGATAATACTGTCAGTGTGGGAGAAAGATAATACTTCAGTAATATGATAAAGCACTCAAATATTAATACTATATATTAAAGGAAAAACTGTTATTAAAGCCAGTGGGGAGCACTGCTGGTTGCTCACCCTAAAGATATCCCTTTTTGTTCTTTGGGATGCAGGTAGTCACCATGCCCCATACGCAGGGAAGAAACCCCTTCTCTAGTCCAGAGGTGAAGCAGCATTCTTCAAGCCAATCATGGTGGTCCCATTCCCTTGCTGGTGAATCCTGTCCCATGCATGGACACATGATCCAAACCTAGCCCATGAGACCAGTGGTGGGAAGAAGGGGAATACATGTTGGAAGTCCCCGA